ATTAAAAAAAATCAAGAAAACAAAAACCCTGAAAAACAAGGAGGTGCAGCTTAACAGCTTGCAGTTTTTGTTGGTTTTGACCGAAGTGTGAAAGGAAAGCTGTCTTAGAGCAGCCAGTCAGTCTCCCACTCCATATTTATTCAATACACTGACGCCGCTCCTGAGCAAACAAGTTGCATAGGATCCAGGTGCTGTGGATGAAGGCAGCACAGAGCCAATGTGCAGAAGAGCCCCTGGTAGGGAGGTGTCTCTCCCACCATCACCTTTCCATAACCACCATGTATCCAGCACAGGTGACCCGTTTCAGTCTGCCAGGACTAACTTTAGGAGGAGAGGGCTGTGTGGATTATTTCAATGCTCTTTGCCTCTGTCTTTGTTAGGGATTTGGGGGGCGTGGTTGGCACTGCATCTTAAATGCCTTTTATCCCAACTCCTTTCCCTTTGCCTTAAAGATGTGCACCACGTCTGAATGAAGGAGACTCTCAGTGAGTGATGAAGACCTCCAGTTTGCACTGTGCAGCAGGTTTTACTCCATCCTTGGGTCTGGCTGCTCCCTCCCTTCCCACCGCTCTGACAGAGGAGTCTGCTCCGCCACCCTGGCACCAGGCAGGAACCGATAAACATTTCCCCCCTTCCTGACAGCCAGAAGCTCATGGGCTGTGTCAGGCCAGAGTAATGGCTCTGTCTCTGTGAGTTACTGGCAGAGCAGCCTCTGCTGCTTTCAGCTCCTGTCTCAGGCCATTCCTGGCTGTCTCCAAGACTCCAGGCCCTGGGCCAGCACCGGCGCCTTTTACAGCCGGATTACACAACCCTCTCTCCAGGTTTTTTCTTCTTTTCTGTGCATGGCTAGGTTTTCCTTGCTGTCTGCAAGGATTGCTAAGACCCCACAGTGGGGCTGGAGGAAAATGTCAGAGCTGAAGCATGAACCCAGGGGCTGTTTCTATATACTGTTCAAGTGATCCAGACCCGATAAAAACCTTTTCCATATGGAGGGAAAGAAAAAGGGTGCTGTTCCCAGGAGCCTGCTACGAATTCCCAGGGTGCTGCTTGCCAAGAGGGGAAGATTTTCTTTTGTCTTCTGGAATTATTGCCAGAGCTCAGCCTGGCTGATTGTCTTAAATTGGGCTTGTTCAGCCTGGAGAAGAGAAGGCTCTGGGGAGACCTTATTGCAGCTTTCCAGTACCTGAAGGGGCTACAAGGAAGCTGAGGGGAACTTTTTACAAGGGCCTGTAGTGACAGGACAAGGAGTAACGGGTTTAAATTGAAAGTGGGGAGGGTTAGATTAGATATCAGGAAGAAGTTCTTCACGGAGAGGGTGGTGAAGCACTGGGACAGGTTGCCCAGAGAAGCTGCGGATGTCCCATCCCTGGAAGTGTTCAAGGCCAGGCTGGATGAGGCTTGGAGCAACCTGGTCTAGCGGAAGGTGTCCCTGCCCATGGCAGGGGGGTTGGAACTGGATGGTCTTTAAGGTCCCTTCGAACCCAAACCATTCTATGATTCCATGATTTAATCTGCCCAGAGTTCCAACTGGGCACCAAGTCCTTCTGCACCATGCTCAGATCACCGCCGTGCACGCAGCTCTGTGAGCTGTTGATGTGCTGTGGTGGACATCTGGTGCATCCCACCTCTGAGATAGCACCTCCACTCACAGCATCACTAGAGAAGTCTAATTCTTTTCTGACAAGTAGGAAACTAAAAGCAAGTCTCCCCACTCCATTTACTGATCTGCCTGAGGCTCCTTTTCATCTTCTAACTGTAAGGAGACATCTTTGGAGTCACTAAGCCAGGCATAGTCATCCCTAGATAGCATAAATATATCACACTGGTAAACTAGATAGAAACAACTGTATGGGCATCAGACCCAAGGCTAGTCTGGCCTTGCCTCCTCTCCATGGCAGGCTAAAAAGCAGCTTGGAAAATAAAAGAGCAGGGAAAGCCTGTGGTAGTGCATCTTCAAAAAGATCCCCAAGATTCCTGAATGGGTGTTGCTTTTGTGAGTGTTTCCACATACTTCTTATAACTTTGGAAGTTTTCAGCATCAACAAAGAGCTGTGGAAAGGTGGTCTGCAGTTTGGCTGGGTGATGTGTGCAGGGCCAGCTCCTGGAGTTCTCTCTGGGCCTGGCACTGCTTGGTGCCTCGACATGCTCTGTAGTTCTTGTGTTGGAAGGGATGGTCCCTACCCTCATCTGTTCCTACAGTCAACAAGCCACTAAGTTTCACAGACCTCTTTCACAGCCATCCATGATCTCTTTTCAAGGCTGAAAGGTCGTAGTCTGTGTAACCTTTCCTCCTACAGCACACACTCCATGACATTGTTCATGGCAAAAACTGGCCACCCTTGTGACTTCCCCTATATCCTTCTATCAGGAAGCCCTCAGAGTGCACATAATACTCAAAATGCAGGTGCAGAGTGGAGTTACGCGCTGGCATAGTGATGTTTGCTGTTTCAATCTCTCTTCCTTTCTTAATTTATCCATTCTTAATAATTCACAACATTTAATATCTGTTTTTATTGCCATGGAATAATTATTGTAACCCTTAGGTCCTCCTCCCCAGTGACAGTTCTGATTAGAGGCCATTGCTGTAGACGGGAACTCATAATTGTTTGGGGGAAGGTGTCCCAGTTTCTGTTCCCTGCGTGGATTTGCAGCTGCTCTCTCTCAGTAGCTCAAAAGCAGCCCATGACGAGAACAGCTCTGAGGTTTGCTGGTCACGTTCAATGTAGATGATCAGATCTGGGTGCATCCTCGCAGCATGAAGGAGAGGCTGAAGGTCAGGAGTGTGGCAGATGGAGGGACTGTTAAAACAGAGATTGGTGGGGAATAGAACAACCTGATGCTAAAGGTGACTGTAAATAATGCCATCAAAGAAGGGCTTTCATTTGAGGGAAAAGATGGAATTATTTATGAACTTCATGCATATGATCATTTGTGCTGCTCTCTGTTAAATAATACAGCTGTGGACATCGGTTACGTTGAAAACTTGTGGCATTAGAGCAGTTGTGGGAGAAAACAAAATGTTTTTTCATTGAAAAGAGCTGTTCTGACCAAGCTTTTTACTCTTCACCTTTTGGGATACTTTATGTTTCATTCCATTTTTTGCTGTGTATGTGCTTTCGTCTTTCTGTGTACCTTCTTGCTGCATCTTTTCACCTCAAAGTAATGGCCTTCAAAAACACCATAGGTAGCAGTTTCACTACAGGAAGTCTTGAACTTCCCTCATTAAGACACACACAGAGATAAAGAGGTTTCCGTTTTTAACGACAGGGGCTCTTAAATATGTGCCAAAGTAGATAATGGAGTAAGCCAACAATTTTACCACCTTTTCTGTCATATTACTGTTTATCACCGTTGTGTTACATCACAGGATAACACCAACAACCTGAAAAAAGCACTGTCTCATGGAGTTCAATAAAAACACAGCTGCACATTTCAAGAACTGATGTTTTTTACATTATTCTGAAAAACACTTTTCCAAAACTGGATTTTTTTAAGAAAAAACAATTTCCTTTGAAAGGACTTTTAAAGTTATTTGAGAAGACCAGGTTTACGTGGTTCCTGTATTTGCCACGCTTTAGCCACCAAATGACCTCAGCAAGAGCCTTCTCCTGGTGAGCAGCTGCAGGGGTGCAAGAGCAACTTCAAACATACCTTATTTTTATATGAAGGGTGAAAGTTTGGAAGAGCAGGATGCGTGGCTTGTGTGATGGGATGAAAGCTGTCCCTGTAGGGATAATGCTACAATGCCTTTCCTATCGGTACTGCATCATGGAAGTGGGATAAATCATAGACTTACAAAAGTCTCTTAGGACAGGACGAAATCAGAAGCCAGGACAGGTGGATTAGCATGCAGCAGATGGGTATTTAGGTTTCCTACGGGGCTGCAGCAATGTCTGCAGCATCCTGGAGTGCAGTTGTGACACTGCAGTCTATGTGTGGCTTCATCGCCCCTCAATCAATATAATTCGGTGACGGCATTGAGCTGTGACACGTCCTGGGCTGCATGTCACCTGCATGTCTGTCTCCTCACCTTGTCCGCAGACTTATCCTCTCCTTGTCATCCTCCATGCAGTTGCCTTTCCTCCCACCCTTCCTGCTAGCTGCCGCTTTCCCTTTGGCAGGTGGCTCAAAAGGGCTCTGTGCTCCTGTCACGTGCAGGGAAGCCTTTTCTCGCCCAGTGCTGGCGTGTTTTGTGGGGATAATTAACTGTGAAAAGCATCACTCTTGGTGGGGGGGAGAAGCTTAGTGGAACGACTCATTTAAAATCTTTGCATGGGCTCCCCTTCGTACGCACACTGAAGAATACACCCGTTTCACAGAGCCTCAGCGCTTGTCTTGGTGCATATCGACAGAAACATTGAAAGATATTCTCTGGATTGATATCCGTGGTGGGATGCTGGCAGGAGACTGGGCTAACGGCAGTCGATAAAGCCTTGAAGGCTTGGTGTGGAGTTGATGGAAATGCTTTCAGTTTCAGAGCTGACGACCCAGCCCATCAAACAGCATGGGTTCACTGGCGAAATAGTGTCTTTTGCTGCAATTAAATAGCCCATAATTAGCCGTGCTACATCAGGAATGTGTTCACATCTGTATAAATCCAGTCCCTGTATGTTCAGAAAGACCTCATCATAATCTGGATTTTCTGTGGGGATTTTCTATAAAGAGAAGAAAAAGATCTCAAAATTCTTAAAACCATATTCAATTTTCCAGTGGAAATGTAAGTGGCAAAAACTTCAGATGAAGCTGAAATATCTAGGCATTAGGTGATAAGAATAACAGTGGGGGGAAAAAAAATTTGTATTATTTTCTTCCTGAAAATAGACAGTTTACACGCCAAGTGCAATTTTCATCTAAATCCCCCTTTATTTTGGAACATGAGTTTCACAGAAAAATTTACCTTTGATATAAGAGAAGGAGGTGAAAAAAATGGTATTTGTAGCATAGGCGCTAACCTTTTTTTCTTTCTTTCTCTCCTTTCTTACACTTTCCTCATTTTACAGCAAGAAAAACAGCAGACACCAAACAAGAGACCCTGGGAAGGAATCAGGAAAGTCCAGTCCCCACCATCATGGGTTAAAAAGGACATCGAACCTGTGGCACAGTCTCCCCTAGAACTAAAAACTGTAGAGTGGGAGAAAACAGGAGCCACCATCCCGCTGGTGGGACAAGACATTATTGACCTTCAGACAGAGGTCTGAGCGGAAAGGGAAGAAAAGGACATTTTTTTTTTTCCGGAAAACAAATGAAACAAACAAAACAAAACCACGTTTTAAAGAAATGATTAAATTAAATCGGAACCGAGCGAAAGAAGTGTTTGGTTTCTTTTGAAACCTGTGGTAAGATGGAGTAACTTTTGTATTGTTCTCAGCAGAGAGGGGAAATATTACTTTATAGAGTATAGTAGCTGTAGGTTCAGGACAACACGAGCTTTCCCAGGTAGGACTGGAGAAGAAGCAGCGAACCCGGAAGAGAGCGAGGAGGAGGCAGAGGGTGGGGAGAGGCTGCACGGGACCAGCCCTGCTGAGATGCTTTCGGGCTGCTGCCACATGCCAGGAACCTTCCTGCTCTGCGACGGGAAGGTGCGGGAGGACGCCCAGCAGCCACCGCGAAGGGCCGAGAAGATCGGGGTTGTTTGGGGACCACAAGAGGGGACGCCTGCGGGTGCCTCGCTGGGATGCGGTTTGGCCGTAGATCCCAGGGGAAGACCCAGCCTCGAGGGTCTGTGGCATCCCTTGATGATCCTCGCCCCCCACCTCTCCCTCACCAGCTCATCCAAGAAGGAAGGGGACGGGATGTGCCAAGCGGTGGCCAAGAAGACATTCCCACTCCTGTGTGCCAGACGGTGACCTGGCACCGTGGCATCCCCACAGCGGGTCCCCACGGGGCCTGGAGGGGGAAGCGGTGGCATCATCCGTGGCTTAGGTGGAGAGGTAAGGTGGGGCTTCCTCCTCTCATCCCTCCGCAGCGGAGCTTCTGCGTGCCCGAAGGAGTGGGACAGGCGCAGGAAGAAAGGACCACCCACAAAACCTGCTCGCCCCGTCTCCAGGGAGAGTTGAAGGTATTAGAAAAACAAACCAACAGGAAGAATATAGGTCATTTCATTGACTGTTAAATAGATAAACTCAGCACGGGCCTTGCAAAGGTCCTCTTGGCTTCATCCTTCTTTTTTTCTGTTATTTTTCCTTGCTTTCGGACTCAGATTTATTCCAAGCTGCCCCTCCCTGGAAGGCAGAGAGAGAAAGAGGGAAAGACAGATCTGCCGATGTACCTGGAGTTATTTGGTATACAGAGATGTTGCCTTAGGACATTGAGACAAACTGACAACATGAATAACGTCCACTTGGAAACAAACAAACAAACAAACAAAATAATCTATTTTTTTCCTTCTTCTTTTCTTTTCTTCAATAAAAAGAGAACTTGAAACCCGAGACCTTTCTTTTCTTTGGCTCTTGTCATTTCGAATGCTTTTCTGTGCTCTAGGACTGCGCAGGCATGGGGTGAGGATGCCACCTGCTGAAGGTGGAAGGCAAGTTGCTCCGTGGAAAGTTTGGGATGGTGGGAACACGCAGCCCCTCTGTCCCTTGCTTGCAATGTTTTGCTTTGCTTCATTCAGTTTGGGCTTTGGTTATTTTCCCCTTGCTGGCTCTTCTCCCTCCCCACTGCCCAGAGCCAGCAGGCAGGTTTGAGGTCTCACAAGAAGGAAGAGGTGGAGCTGATCAGGAGAGCAGGGCGTTCCTCTTCATAAAATACTGTCTTTTTATTTCACCATGAAAAAAATTGGGTTTTTTTTCATTAAACATTTCTCAAGGCTGTTTAGAACAAGTAAGGTATCTACGTTTCACCCACAAAGGTGTTGTGCAATATTTTTGTCATTAAAAAGTACACCACTGACATTATATGCAGACTTCATTTTTTTTTTTTAATCATTCCCAGCACTGTCTGTCTGATGTTTGGAATAACTCTCCCACCCCTGAAGATGTGCAGCAACAAACCTCTGGTTGTGAGTGGCCAGATTGTTCCGGACAGCAGTAAATCTTGATCAGGGTCTGAGTTATTACTGTGTGTTTGGGTCTCTTTAAAAAAAAAAATATATAAATTAGGAAAAAGCTAGCAATGGATAAAAGACAAAAAATAAGCACTGACCCCAGTTGAGTTTCCTCCACTGAGAGGTGTTGCCGTGCAAACATCCCTGCTTCAGCTTTCCTTTGGGCCACCTGGGGAACTGATCTTCAAGGACAGTGGCATTTACCTTGCCGTTAACTCTGTGATACGAAGGATGGAAAAAAGAACTTTTTAAAAAATCCAAATAGTTAAAAAATAGGGAAACTGATTACTTATAAATACTGTGATATTATTGTTCAATTTTAGATTATTCTATGAAACAGGAAAGCACAAAGGCCTCCCTCAGATGCCGGGTTGTACGATATTGTAATTATTATAATTACACATTATGAATTTTAGCATACAGATATCTTTCTACTGTGTTTTAATTATTTTCTCTTTTTTTTTTTCCCCTCCCTCCCCTGCCCAACCAAGCCTGCCCTCTTCTCTCCAACCTTCCCCATTCACCCATTCACTCCAGCCGACTTGCAGGACATTAACGGTGTTATGTAATTACAGAGATAAATGTTTGTTTATTAACTATTGATATTCAGCTTTCTCTGCTCAGCTCCTCCGGTTAATTCTGTTTTCCCATGCCCTGCCCCATGCCATGCCTTCCCCTCCCTCCTCTCTGTGTTCGTCAATTCTTTTTCTGTACAGTTTTCAGAGCACAAAATGAATGTGTCTTATTTCTAATAAAAGAGGTGTAAACTCCAGCGATGTCTGCTTTTTAAAAGCGCCCCGGCCCGCGCCCCACGCGTGGTTTGCATCGCGCCCGGGTGCTGGGAAACACCTCTCCTGGACCTGCAAGCTGCCACCGTGGCTCTCTGCTCTGGAAGAGCCATAGGCCAGGGCCATGCTTGCCCCACAAGTGCACCTTTTGCTTTTAGCGTTGTAGCTTCTTCACACCCCAGAAAAAATACCTCCCTGATGATGCACATTTCCATGGCTTAAGGAATTCCCTTTTCTGTGCAGCGCAGCTGGATTTTCTGCAGGCAGCTCTAACCCAAGCCTTGATGCCCTCTTCCCAGTGTGTGATGTGAGGGGGCAATATTGAACGTGGATGAAGCAGCATTACTGGTAGAGAGCAGCAGTGCTGGGATATAGTTTCCAACGGGACCAGGGTGATGATGCTACCGTGCCTGCGTGCCTGCAAAGCCGATCCCAACTTCACCTGGATTTCCCTGCCACCTCCTGCATTACCAGGCGTGCTACGAGCAGGAGCAGGGCTCAGTGCACGAGGGGGTTAAGCATATCACTCATGAAAGATGAGAAGAAATGAATTGCGCTGGGGATTATTCCCTTCCTTGGAGCTTACACTTGAATGGCTGAAATCCTCCAGCAAGAAAATTTGTCCTTATCTCCCTGACTCTGCTCCATCACCTGATTGACGGTTTTTAGGTTTATAGGCAGGATTGCAGGAGGCTTAGGGGTCTGGCCAATTGGATCCAGTTCTGATGCTCTCCAGAGCCTTGATCCAAAGCCATCATGGCCCAGTAGGTTCCCAGATGTAATGACTTCTCTTGGCCAGGCTGAAATGAATTGGATATCCTGAAACGTCTGCAGTTATTGCAGAGGCGTGGGGCTGCCAGGAGGATTTTAGCCCAATCCCCCCAACCCTGAACCATGATCCAAGCCTTCTTCAATCAGCAGCACATGATAGTGAGTCCCAAGGGCTTCTCCATCCTTCCTGCAGGGCTGGTTCTTGCCCCGTATCTCCCATGCCATGATCCTGTAGCATTAGCAGCCAGAAGGGAAATGCTAACCACAGGCGCTGATAGGTTGGGAGGCCCAAATCTCGAATCACAGCTGTAGAGATGGTTCAGGAGGTCCTGCTGTTTCTCATCAAGGCCTGGAAGGAGGGAGCACGTGTTCCCGCTGCACTCATGGGACTGTAAATAACAGCACTTTCAGGTCTCATCTCAGGGTTGGTAGACACAGTAGGTCAGTGTAGGTACAGGTAGTTTTGGTTTGTATTGTGTTTATGATGTGGTGTGGCTGCAGGGGAGGATCAAGGGACAGTTTGACTTTCAAAGGGCCTCCTGAGGTCCCCGTGAGCTGTCCTACAACCCCATCATCCTGCCTTGCAGCCACCCCAGGCTAGAGCATGGGGCACACAGCATCTGTACACACACTGTGCTATGTTGCACAACCAAAGAATCATACTTCTTGTTTGCTACGCTAGGAATCCATGGCTGTGATGGCAAATGGAGATGAATCTGAAAATTGAATAAATTGCAAAGACACCGTTCCTGGAAGATTTGGACCAGAGCAGATTACCCTCTCTTGTGATTACTCTCTAAATTGTGGCTGAAGGGGGTGCTTGGGCTCACCATGTTACTAACGGAGGTGTCCAAGATGAGGTAGGATGAATCTGGGCCTAGACTGAATATCTGCTCCGTTTGCAACAAGATCTAAACAGAAGAAAAGACAGAAGATTACTCTTTTAGGGTTTTTTTTTTCTTATTTTCCTCAACCTGCTCATCCCAGCAAGAGGTCAGTGCCTCCCAAGGGCAGTGTCTGTCTGCCTAGCAGCTTTCAAGTAAATAGAAAACACCTTCAAAGTAGCTTTCAACAGCCTTCTGGGTAAGGAGGCCTCGGGGGATCCATGCAGAGGACCTCCCCAGGTGTTTGCTTGCTCAAACCTATTTTCATTCATGATTTTCCAAAAGCTTTTATGTATCTGAGGCTCAGAACTCCCTTATCCTGGCAAACCCCTTGGGTAGGCCAATTTCCTACCAAGGCCTAGAGATGACAGCAGGGAACACAAGCACAGTTCTTAAGCTGGGGCCATGCAGGACTTCATATTGGATGGTCAAAAACATTCCTTCCTAGCCTTAAAAACCTGAGAATCCTTTTAGGACGTGATGCTCAATAGTGCCAACAGAGAAACTCACTGATGATTGTATGTGCATTATGTTGCAGTAATGAACATCACTCATTACGCTGGCTCATTAGCAAGCTGAGTAGCTGTGATGGCAGTAATGCCAAAAAAGAGGCCCAGGGGAATGAGGTAGTCAGGTTTCTGTCACTCTTCAGTCTTTTCCATGATCACCACAAGAGAAGTCAGACGTGCACCCTGAACTGCCTTCCTTCACCCTGCA